ATATTTGTCTTTTCTTCCCACCATTCCTCAGGGATTGCATAGATCATTTTCAGCCAATGCCTCTTTCTTTGCTACTTATTTTTATGGACAGAAAGACTTCTTAAATAGTTTCCAGTACAGATAGTGTTTATTTAACATTTGAAAAATTACACTTATCACACTTCTGCAGTGAGGTGACTTGCTCCTTTTAGTAAGGGCAGTTAAGAAAAAAAGACTTGCATTTATACAGCAGTCTTCATGACCATGGGATTTCTCAAAAGCATTTCACGGCTGATGAAGAGTCATTTCCAGTAGAAACAAATGACAGAAACTGAGAAGCTACAAATGACCTGACAAATACTTGCTTCTCAACTGATATCATTGAAACAGGTTATCTCACCATTATCACATTGTTGTTTGTGGGACCTTACTATGCATGAATTGGCCGCAGAGTTTCAAATACTGCAACAATGATTGCATTTCAAAAGCATTTCATTGTTTGTGAATCACTTTGGGACATTCCAAGGTCGTGAACGGTGGTGTATAAAAGCAAGCCTTTCTTCCTTTTTCAGTAGAGTTATGAAACAGCAAATCTAAACTTTAATTTCCCCAGATGGATGCAAATTAGTTTTGATTAAGCTGTTACAGTGAAATGGCATCTCCCAGTGCTCCTCAGTTCCAAACGTAATCAGAACTCCAGCCTCAATGGAAATTAACAGTGCTTCCATGGATTTTCTGATGAAATTCCACTGTTAAATCATTCTAACTCTCCTTTCAACTGGTTGCATTTATCAGGGATTATATATTGAAAGCCTATATTTATTTATAAAGCATGTATCATGAGTCACCCAGCTTCAAATGTGCCATATATTTTGAAGTAGAAGATGTCACTTCCCCACCCCATGTGCACCCCAAGCAGCACTGCTACTAGCCAACGATCTACCCTTCAACCACATAAGCCATTAAAGTGAGTAAAGATGGTTCTGGGATATCGACTGTTTCCCTGCCTCTATACCAGTAGAAAGCTCGATAAGGGAGGCTCTAGCATAAGATGGATGCAATGCCCGGCTTCATTTACAACAACATGACAACATGTCTCAGCTCAGTGAGTGCAGTATTATTATGCTATTTTCACTTCCCACACAAGTTGAAAAACAGTTGCTCAAATTCATGATTCACATATCTAAGCAAAAATCATACACTAGGGAAGAAAGATAGTTTCTTCCAAAACTGGAAGTAAATTAGATTATTGGGAAAGAGCAAATGGATCATTTCCCTATATCTGACTATGCTGCAGCTGGCTGGTAGATGCCCAATTTTGACTTATTAAAAAATCAGTCCCTCGCGTCCACTAGATTTGTAAATGCCTGCTGTGAAAATGGGCACGCAGTATGCACCATTAGATATCTTATATCTAATCATTTTTATTTGCCCATTCATTTCTGACAGTTTCACTGTAGCCAATTGTTCTGTGTGGAATTTGCATGAAACAACAAGTCAGTAGCATGGTACTTTGTCAAATCGTAATGTAAAGGCCGTGTTACAATAATAGATTTGCTTGCAAAGCCGGTCCAATGTTTATCAACCACACAACCATTTTCAATACATTCATTTGTGTACTTTGGGTGGGAGACTACAATTTTGAAGCACATTTTGGTCTATTTTGAAAAACAACAATAAGCTTATGGGTTAAAGTTTTTGTGGAACATGCTGCATCAAAATATGGTAGTCAGATAGTATTATTGAGCATTAGGAGCAAAAACTATGGGCCCAATTTTAACCCATTCAAAATCCACCCACTTGCAGAATTAAAATCAGCACGGCCCTAAAAGTTACTCTTACATCTGTACTAAAAGTTAGGAAGACAAACAATGGTGTCACCACAAACTGCAAAATCATTGTTTGGGTTTCCCCAGACAATGATAATCTTTAAAGTGTTAAATATAACTTTTTTTTTGTACATAGTAGTGAAAATTGCCATAATAATAGTAAAATCAGAAGTGCTGGAAACATTCAGCAGATCAGGTGGTACATGTTGAGAGAGAAACAAGCTAATGTTTCAACTGCCACCCACTAAACAGGAAATGTTGGACATAGTAATCTGTTAATATCTGATAAGGAGTCACATGTGCAATGTTAATCTAACAGACTGGGCAGATTTTGTGGTTTCCTTGCGAGCAGGCCAGTGGAAGGGGCTTGCCTGTAAATTCCCCAAAATGACCTGATTGCCATCCCCCTCTCCACCTGACCCCAAGTTTAACTGTTGCAAGGGCAGTCTTCCCATTAATGTTAAGTCAATGACACAGAAATGGGTAAACAGATGTTAATCAGTTCTCATTCAGCACATATGAAAAGAAGACAAAGTTTTGGAGTGTGTAATTGATGAGTCGTAAGACTGCAGAGAAACATAGAAAATAGGAGCATAAGTAGATAATTTGGCCTTTCATGTGTGCTCCACCATTCAATATGATCATGACTCAGTACCCTGCTCCCACTTTCTCCCCATTCCCTTAGATGCCTGTAGCCTAAGAATGATAGCTAATGCCTTCTTGAAAACATTCAATGTTTTGGCCTCAACCGCTTTCTAGGCAGAGAATCCCACAGACTTACCGCTCTCTGGGTAAAGAAATTTCTCCTCATCTCAATCCTAAATGGCCTATCCCCTGTCCTTAGATTGTGACCTCTAGTTCTGGACTCCCGGGTATTGGATATATCCTTTCTGTGTTTACTGTGTCTAGTCCTGTTAGAATGTTATCTATCTATAAAAGATCCTCCACCCCCTTGTTCTTCTAAACTCCAGTCTCTCTTTCATACATCAGTCCCGCCATCCGATTTAGCAGGTGGCAGTTGATACATTAGCTTGTTTCCCTCTCAACATGTACCACCTGATTTGCTGAACGTTTCCAGCATTTTCTGATTTTACTATTATGTGAGCTTTCACTACTCTGTTCAGAAAAATAATGTTATATTTAACACTTTAAACATTGTCATTGTCTGGGGAAACCCAAACAATAATTTTGCAGATTGTGGGGACACCATCGTTTGTCTTCCTAATTTTTAGTACAGACGTAAGCGTAATTTTTAGGACCGTACTGATTTTATTTCTGCAGGTGGGTGGATTTTGAATGGGTTAAAATTGGGCTCGTAGTTGCACTCCCTCCGTAGCGAGACATCTTTCCTCAGACAGGGAGACGAAAACTGCACACAACACTCCAGGTATGGTCCCACCTGCATACACATGAATAAAGTTAACAGTTAAATAAAAGCTCTATGCCTTGGCTCCCAGTTCACTATTAATAGTTACTTAAGGGTTTAATACCATTTGACCTCAATTTTGAGGGTGGTGGGATAAGTTCAAGAATAGGGGTATGTCTGACAGGTCAACCTGCTTGGGCCTCAAGCAGGAAAAGGGATCAAGGAAAGTGGTCTTCTACAAGAGCCCTGCTTCCACATTGAACACTCTTCCCAAGGTCTACACCCTGCAAGTGCACCTACCTCATCAAAGCATTCATTCCCCCAAAGCCTTATGTACCCTCCCCACCATGAGAACTACACCCGCCTCCCCACCCCCAAGCTTTACCTGGTCTTTCCTGAACTCTAGGAAGTAAAATTTGGAACTGTTTATAATCCATTTCTGCCACTTGCATTGCTGGGACTACAAAGTTGTCAATCAATGACTGGCCAGCAACAGCATCATTGAATAAGGTGGAGGCAGACAGATTCTTTTTGGCAAGGGAATCAAAGATCATTAGAGGTAGATAGGAATGAAGAATACTGCCAGGACCTTATTGAATGGCATGGGTAGGGTGGGGGTGGGTTGTGTGTGTGTATGTGTAGGGGGGGATTCAAATGGCCTACTTCTGCTCCTAGCTTGAATGTTCGTAATACTGTTCTTACCCCAGCTGACTACAATAGTGAATAAGGCAGATCTCAGAGTGAAATCTGGCTTCATAGATCATAAGTTTTATTTTTGCAGTTTGTTTACCTTGTTGGTCATTCACCAAACATATTCATAGGAGTCTGACAATATTCTTTTGACAAAAGAACACAGGGTTATAATAAAAAAGATAAAAGCAAAGCTATATGTGACAATTCAGAAAAATCTTAACATAAACACCAAAAAGAAAAATTCAACCATGCTATTTACAAACACTTGACCCAGTGAAAGTATCCATCTACCTGTCATAACTCTTTAATTTCTATCTGAACTGATAAGATCACAAGCATTTCCTTTCAGCTTTCACTAGATGTGATTTTCTCTGTTACTGTCTTTCCCTGAAAAACTCAGAAATTGGGTAATTCACTGACATTTCCTAATTAAATTTTAAGAAAATTCCAGTTGACTTCTAGTACAGTTTTAAGAATTCTTTCCAACTCTAAATGCCTATCTGCCACAAACTAAACTGCCCTTTCATTCAGATGAAACTGTTCATTTCAAAGGAAATATGTCTCCTGTTCTGTCTTTCTATACATAAAAGTTCACCTTTGTAAACATTTCATTCAGGTTGTTTATCTAGTCACTTAAGTCACATGCTTTATTGAAAATGATGTTTGAACTCACTATTCAAAAATGACTTTCTAGCCGTTTGAAGCAACAAATCAACTTCATAGAACTAAAACCAAAAACCCATTTACCTTTACTTTAAAATCCGAACACCGATAGGACAAGAAGATATTATAACCTTTATCACATTATGTTCATTCGTTCAGCAACTCTATTCAAATGGTTTGCAGATGACCCATCTTCTGCCAAAGTGGCTCGGGGCTTGCTGTAATCAGCGGGTATGTGTTCCCCACAAGCTCTTTGGGTGGCATAGCAGCAAAATACAGCATGTAAAAAGTCCTGCCCATTTCTTTTAAATGCTACTGAACTGAATTGCTGTGCTATTTCATTATTTTCTACTTTTAATTCTAATTTCGACCATGTTTTTCTTTCCTTTTCTTCTCATCTTTCGAAACTTCCATTTTTTATAAAATCGTGAAATGAAATGCAAATACGTGCAAAACTGTAAATTAGTTACCTGCACAGAAGGAATCTCAACCACTTTATCTACATTCTCCAGGGACAGTGCCACGTACCACAGTGTTGCCCTGTTGGTCAATCGTTTAGCACCTAAAATAGGAAACATCCTTTTAAAATTTAAATATTCCAGAACAACCACAATGTGCATTTATATTGCAGATTAAGATAATAAAATATCCCTGGGAATTTTGCTGGAGCAAAATCATACTGTACTGAGCAACTTTGGGAGATATTGTAATAAGTGACTGAAAGCTTGATCAAACATAGAGGTTTTAGAGGACATCTGAAAGGAAACAAGTGATGAAGCTTGTGGGGAGGTGACAATGGAATTCTGGAGTTTGGGGTCTGGGCAGCTGAAGGCACCACAAATGGAATGAAGGAAACAAGTCAGAAATTCAGAATCCAGTCTGGATAATTCCGGTGATTCTGACTAGGAAAGAGTAACAATGCAACAAATGCAAAACTGACAATCCTGCTCCTCTGATGCTGCTTGGCCTGCTGTGTTCATCCAGCTCTACACCTTGTTATCAATGATTTTTACAACACACTTTGAGTTGATATGTTGCTGGATTAACAACAGAAGGTAAAATTTAACTTCAAAAGGGAAAAGTGTTCCCAATTACTTTTGAAGGAATGAGATTTGCATGCATTGTGCCTCATTGTGTTCTGGAGAAATCATGCAGAGTACAATGAATAAAACTAAATATTGATATATAGCTGTCATGCCTCATTAGGCTAGTCTGCTGGGGCTATTCCTAGAGTCATCATAGAAGTGAGGAAACGTAAACTGGCTTTCTTTAGACTTTACGTATTCTTTCTCTGCCAGAGAGGAAGACGCCACCTCCCTTATGAATGCTTCTGACCGTATTGTTCACATCCAGAAACTATTCAGTTTGGCAGGAGCCAATCACATTGTTGTTGACAGGCAGAAAGCCTTTATTATTTACAACTACTCACCACTCCAGAGATAATTAGCTGTTTGTTGCTGGCTGAATCTCCCCTCGTACTTACCCCCTGCCTACAGCTTATATGTAGTAAACTCCACCATTCTTACTGCTTGAACAACTAGCAGTGTAACAGCACCTACAAATAGTGTCAGTAGCCTGCTTTTAAAAACTGCAGTAATCCCTTCCACAATCCTTGGTTATAAAAATAGTATTTTTCCCATTTCATCCACAATCAAAAATACAGAAAATAAAAAGACACACAGTCTATACATATCTTATTCAATGAAACACAGGTTATCCTGTTAAATCGATATATGCAAATATTCTAATTTATTAAACACTTAGCAGGTCAGGCAGCATCTGTGGAGACAAAAAAGAGTTAATGTTTCAGGCTAATAACCCTTCAGCAAAACTATGGAAAGAACTGTGGTCTCTCCAGTTTGCAAGGGGAGGTGGGGCACGATAGCCATCAATAGACCAGTTTTTCTGATGGCCATACAGACAGTCATTATTCTAGCATTGATGGGAGATGCGTAAGGGGATCCTGCAGAATTCACATGGTAGCAGACTCCAAAGAGATTAACAGGAAACTTAAAGATTCCACTGTGCATTTCCTCCATACCAGGAGCCCTCCAAACGTCTCCACTTAAATTGCAGAATTCAGAGGATTCCGATTAAATTAGGTAAATAGTTACTCTGGAAAAGTTGGACTATCAAATACATCATCTAACTTGAACAACTATTCAACAAACACCATACTTACCTCACACATCCCCAATTACTTGTCTGCCAGACTATTTACACCACCCAGACCTGACACCACACTTACCTCTACACCTTATTATCTCAGATTCTCCAGCATCTGCAGTTCCTACTATCTCACCACACTTACTCTGTTCTGCACCTGACCCGTACCCTTCTGCCATCACTAGGCACGCCTGACCCTTCCCACTGCAGGGCATGCTCCTCCCCACCTCCTCCTGTCCACATCATTAGACCTAACACCCCACTTCATTACTCTGCATCCAGCCCTACTATCCGTGCCTCGGGACCCAAACCCCATATCGGACCAGACAGTCACTCACCTAGTCAAACTGGATTTCCCTCATCCACCTCCCCAATCTACCCTAAAACTACACCACTTATCTTGCTACCTAGCACCCGACACAAATAGTATCCCATCCCCTTCCCACGTAGATCCTACAAACCTGGCACCCTACCCCCATCTCCTCCCTCCCTACATTGCTGACACCCTACTTATCTAACAGCCGAACCCATACTCTCTTGGCACTGAAGCTTCCCAACATCATCCTTACAGTATGTAATAAACATGTGACAGCAGCTGACTGCTGTAAACAGGGGGCGTGGTGCCTTTTGCACCAGATGAGAGAACTGTAAGAATGGAAGTATGGTTCAGCATTTCTAAAGAAATTTTGATTGGATCTCCTCTCAACAAATGTAAAACACCCTCCTTTTCAAATACAAAGGGTGGAGTGACAATCCGCAGCAAATCCGGACTAATGTGTTATGGAGCTAATCAAAGGTGTGTGAGGGGTGAAATGGTGCTAGGTGAGATGTTACATAACGAAATCTCCAGGAATATGCATGAAGCTGGCAAGCCTCAAGTATTAAATTCAAAAAGCTGACTACATGAATCTGCTATTCATAAGTTTTGCTTATGGGTTATTTAAATTCAGACTCATTCACCCAAACATCAAGCCCATGTGTGTCTGAAATAAAAACAGTAAATGTTGGAAAAACTCAATGGACAAGTAGCACTTGTGGAGAGAAACAGAATAAATGTTTCAGGTCCGTTATTATGCTGTGAGCTGCTGAAAATATCCAGCATTTTATTTCAGATTTCCAGCACTCATTGCATATTGTTTTCTGTTGCATGACTGGGTCTTAATTACAGAAAACCAACATTCCTAACCTGTGAACGCTAATGCAACATCTCTCTGTTGCTGTACTTAATGTTGAAATTGGTGCTAAAAGCTTTGAGCCTCATCATGCCCATTTATTTCCTGCACACCATGCTCTTTATTTGAGCAAGGCTGCAGGGTACTAAAATATCATTAATATCCAATTAAAATATTATAAATGCCCAATTACTATACAGGTTTAATTTAGTAATGCTGACCCAATCCTGCTTGCGTAACATCTGTCAATAAACACGAGTAACACATATAACTTGTTATTTTAAACCAAATCTATCAATTCCTCTGTTGGACATTATGCTAAACGATAAATTTGAAAGAATTCTGAAAGGTCTGCATTTGAACTCTTCCCCAGAAATACATTCAAAACAATGAGTCAAAACTTGTTCTTTCAAAGTATGTTATATAAAAATGAAAGTTCATAGGAAGATGTATATTGTAGCTAACTCATTTACATCAACTCGCGTGAAATTGCAAGTGATTAATTGGAAGTGTAAGGAGGCTTGTGTAATTGGAGCAGTGAAAGTATCATACTCCTACTGAATTACCCAGCCAGAAACTGCTTGCCAGCAGGCTGCCATTCTTTTTCAGATTTATGCCCTTTCCCTTGCATGCAGCCTGTTTTGCTTCTGATTTCCAGGAGCACAACATACATTAATTATAGAAAATGTATAGCACAGAGATAAGCCATTTGGACAAAATGGTCAATACTGGTGTTTGTGCACTAAATGAGCCTCATTCTCTCCTACTTCAATCAATGCTATCAATTCTATCTTTTTCCCTCTCATACTTAGCAGCTTTTCTGTAAATGCAGCTATGCAAATTACCTCAACTAGAATTGAGAGTTCTACATTATAATAATGCTCTGGATAAAGAAGCTCTTCCTGCATTCTCTATTGTGTTTACTAGTGACTATCTTCTCAATGTTTACTCTACAAAACCCTTCATACCTTCTCAGGTTAACGTGCATCTTTCTATTTTTATCCCAGAGAACAGAGCCTCATCCTATCCAATCTTTCTTGCTAAGTATTGCCTCCTAAATCTTGTATCACTTTTATAAAGCTTTTTTCCTTACTGTCTCCAGTGCCTTCATGTCCTATTTACATCATAAGATGTGCAGAAATAGGATTTATAATATGGAGACCTAAATTCTGTATAGTGTAAATATGGCTTCACCAAGGTTCTACATCTGCTCGATGTAATTTTCTGCTTTTCAATGATATGCATCCAGCATTTATCTTCAGTGCTTAGCTTGCCATTTTATAATGGGCACATTAACTTGCATTACTACTTTTAGTGATTTAAATACTTATACTCCACCAGTTCGGGTTCAAGGGACTGAATGGGTTAATCCTATGCCTACGTGCTTGTTAGGCAAAAGGACATCTATCTCCTGTCACCTCAATAGCAGACAGTGGAATTGCATGTAAGCTTTGAGTTCATATCCCATTACTCTAGCATTTCTCAATTCCAGTCCTACTGTAACCCCTCTGTTTTTGACCTGCTACACTGTTCCAATGAAGCTCAATGAAAATATGATGGCTATCTCTCTATCCCTTTGGTCATTCTTGCAAACTGCATTTTAAGTGGCTCATATTTCTTTGATTTTTCTTCCACTTTTTCCTTCTTTTATATCCTGCACATATCTTTTCTGTCATTTAACCATCCTATATTGTTCACCTATGTACTTTGTAGGTATTGCCATTTCTTTGTGTGCAGGGACATTTTATGTACTTCTTTCTTCCTTCTTTCCTGTTCCTTTACAAATGTTCCTTCATTCTTTTTAAGTCATACAAGAGTTGAGGATGAGGATTAAGTCTTATGCCCAAGATACTGACTGAGGTTCTCTCCATAGATGGCATTAAGAGTCTGCAGTATTTTCTGTTTTCATTTCAGGAAGTTTTTTTTTACAATTTAGTAAACTGCTACTTATCATGAGATGTTTCAAAAATAAATTAAATTCTTTTTAAAAATAAAGGTGACATTCCTCTCTGAATTCTTAACACAGTTTCTTGCAGCTATTCACACACTTTTGAGGGCTGTATCTGTCACCTCATCCAGGTGGTGGACTAATGTAATTGAGGTACATAATGAGTCACTTGACATTACATAAAGGCAAAACACTGTGGATGCTGAAAACCTGAAACAAACACAAAAAAACGCTGAAGAAACTCAGCAGGTCTGGCACCATCTGCGGAGAGAAAAA